CTTGTTGCTCTTCAGTGAGGTATGTAGGCAGATCAGGGTAATCAAAGGCTGTAGCTTCTTCGTCTGAAGACGCATCGGCACCAATGCCGGAGTCGAAGTCGGACTCGGCGGACTGCCCCGCTGAGCCCATTCGGGCCATGGCTTGTGCGGGGGAAGCCGCGTCAGGCGGTCCCCGAAGCCTGGCCCAGGAGTCTTGCGACCCCGAGGCCGTCCCACCATTCTGAGCCAACAGTGTAGTGGTCTCAGTTGGTTGTGGATCATCATTCCAGACGATGTTGGCAGGTTGCCCTGCGTTAGCCTCCACGTGGAAGGTCTCGGCCCGGCGGCCGCGACTAAAGATGCCACCAATATTGCCGGGGGGTTCTCTCAGCAATGTGAGCATATGACCTCATGCGTTCAAGTAGAGCGTCAATTTGTTGCTGGTCTCTCGGCGCGCTGTGGTTTCGAGGCTGCAGGAGTTGCTGTGCACGCGATGTCCCCGCTCCAAGAGCTCTGACTATAATCGCTGTTAAGATTTGAAAATTGGGGGTGTTGAAGCCGGCTGTTTCAGCTTCATAGCGGGCTATCTCAAAACGCGCTAACGCCTGGTCGATGCGTTCTCCCGCATGGACTCGGAAATCAACGAGAGCAATGCCAGATTTGAGTTGGCGCTCCTCTTCTAAAGCCTCGAACTTCGAGGAACATGATATAGGTGGCGCCGTCAGTATGGCGGCCAACTATGTCGACGCAAAAAATTATAACTGCTGGATGGGCTCTCATGGCTATAGTCCGTGCGAGACCTCGCAAACCTCGCTGCAGAGCTGCAGCCTGCTGGGAGGGCGTCATATTGCCTGTAGTCACGTTGATCCAGGCATGTACTTCGCGGACGCATTCGCGAAAGGGTACTTGACCGGCTGGGCCCCAGCGAGAGCCGGACGCTCGTGCGTCGTCTCCGCCACGCGTGTGTCCCACCGCGCGCCCAATAGCGACCAGGGCGATCCCAAAGATAGTAGCGCCGATCCAATGGCCTCGCAGGTCGTAGTCGGATGTAGTCGGTCGGGCCTTCCGTTGGGCATTCGTCAGTCTGCGCATTATATCGTCGAAGAAATTTCCACTTGGAGTAGGTGGTTGGATTTCAGGAGTGTAGAAGCGCAGGGATGTAGGATGTAAGTGAGAGACCTCCGCTTGAGCAGAGGTATCGCTGCAAGTGTCCTTGCGACGATGCGCGGCCATGTACATTCCTCCGCGCAAGCCCACTGCGCCCCGATGCATCCGTAGCCCACCAGATAGCGCCGTGGACGGTGGGGAGTAGAGCGAGAGCCGGCCACCATAGGCCAGCCCCGCTACCAAGTTTGAAGGGGGATGGGGGGCCCAGCCAGCAGTTTCGCCTCAGGCGAAGCCGACCTCCAGCTCAGTTGCGCCGTGGTAGCGACAGTCCCAGTAGGAGAGGATGTGCCATCTTAAGCAATAGGAGGATCCTTTCGGTCTCGATAGCGATTGCGTGCCTCGCGGCGAGGCGCAATCATATTTGGGCGGCCGGCCGCTTGGGCCGACGCGGCCGCGGGCGCGCGCTCGCTTCCGCCACTTGCGCCCCTCAGCTCGCCTTAGAATCCAAGAAGGCCCCAAGACGCCCCAAAAGAGCCACGCGAGGGCGCCGAGAAGGCCCTTGGAGGACCCCAAGAGAGCCCCAAGAAAGACCTCCAGGAGGGCCCCAAGAGGGCCCCAAGAGAACCCCAAGAGAGCCCCAGGATGACTCCAAGTTTCGAAACGCACGCGAGGTTAAGATACAAATCAGTGCAACCGCCATTACGAGTCATCGAGACGCCCCTCGCACCATCGTAGCTTACACTGATTTCCATCTTAAACTTCAATGCGGCGAACTACGCGTGATCATGGTTTTCCCGAAGACGGCTGCGCGACTCATGCGTCCTGCCGCCCCTGATTCTCCAACTCCCCTGCTGATCGTTTCTGGATGGGCTGGTGTTTTTTTTTTCGGGTCAACAGGCTCGCGAGGCGGGTCCGAAGCCGTCCGAACACAAGTCGGGCCGCGACTAGGCAGCAGGAAAAGAAAGGCAAGCGATGCGAGCGAGCGGGCAGCCACTCAGAAGGGGGGCCAGAACCGATGCCCCCAAGCCCGGTGGCGTTGGAAATCCTGGCGGTGACCAGCAAGGAAGCGCAGCCAAAATGGCGCGGCGGCGCGACCGTAAACACGCAGAGGTCGACCGCCCGGTGCGAGTCAGACAAACAGCACCGTCAGAGACGAACTAGACCGACAGGCACACCCAGACGACATCCGTGAAGTAGGCGACACAAATGCCAAAACATCGCGTCGGCGCACGAGCGAAGTGGGGCAACCTCATCACCGACAAGACTGCAAACGGCAGTAAACCCTGTAGCACCCGTCGAAATCGAAGTCCAAGCAGGACAACGTCGGCCAACGAGCGCACAGAGCCACACTTGCCGAACCTGAGGTCCGGGTACCGCAAGGTTGGCAGTGTTGCGAGAGACCCACTGGAATCCTCCGGTCATCAGTAGGGCCCAACGCCAGCCAGGAGCATGCCAGTGGGCACCTGACCTCAGCGAAAGCGACGCAGCACCATCCCCTGTGTGAGCACTTGCATGAAATCCAGACCACCTGAACGCCATCACGAAGCAGTATTGGGCAGCCAACCCCAGCCGCCAGGGAAGAACCCTGTGAAACAAGAGGGAGAGCACCCTGGTGCAACAGCTGCCGCTTTGGCATAAGGATGCGCGAGGAGAGGAGGAGAAGTGCACGCCAGGCACAGTAGGCACCCCGGTGCGGCAGCTAACCGCTGCAGCATTAGGATTCAGGAGGGGAGGGAAGGAAGCGCACGCCAGGCACAGGGTGCGAGAGAAGGGGGGGGGAAACATATACCCGGGCAGTTGATGCTGACAGTGCCAATCGTGGCTGTGCCATTTTTGTCCGCTCTGTCTATGCCAAACCTGACTGTGCCAGCCGTGGCCACGCCAACCCTGACTGTGCCAAATAAGCCCCCGTGGAAAGTGAGCATTCATAACGACACCTACCGAACTCGAAGTCCTTGCACCGTAACTGTCAGCAGTGCATCGAAGCCCCACTGAACCCTTTCAGCCATCAGCAGGGGGGTGGCACCGACCTAAGGCAGCCAGTGGGCACCTCGCCGCCCACTCCCAACGTGAAACTTTGCGTGAGATCCAAGCTGACGAAGCAACACCCGGCAGCTGCATTGGCGGTAACTCCAGCCGCGAGGGAAGATCCCAGTCGAACGGGAGAGGGAGAATCAGCCAACCGCTGAAGCAAAAGGAGAAGAAGGAGGAGAGCTCACCATAACCCTGCGTGCACTGACACGCACGCCAGGCGCTCTGTATCGAAGCTTACCTCAGTAAACCCGCCACTGGCACCAGCTTACCTTTGTTCTCCACACGAAGTCCTGGGTAAAGCTGGGCTCTGCCAGCCGCAAAATAACGTGCAATCGCGGATGATGAGGTCTTCCATTGGGCTAGCGCACCGTCCCATATGCGCCAGCGGGTGTAGGCAATGCATGCTTTCTTGTTTAGCCACGCGCTCATTACTGCAAAAGCCCGCAAGGAAGTGCCGTCGATGAAATATTCTGGGCGCTCTTCAATGGGACGCTTGGCAGGGACAATCACGGTGTGCTGCCAGTCTGAAGCCGCCATTGAGCCGCAGTGACTGCGCAGGAGGCAGAAAGAGAAGGAGAGCAGGGGAACGCAGCTAACCGCCGCATGCATAAGAAAGAGAGTTAGCTGTGTAGGCGCGTGGCGCTACTAGGTGTACCACATACCCGGCGTGATGTCAAAACCGCATCCCAACGAAACTGGGTGGTGTCCCACACTCGGTGTTACTGTCAAAACCGTTTCTCGGTCCATGGGCTCTCGGTTGCTCGGCTCCTTTTCCCAGACTTGCCCGGTGAATCGGGTCCGTCCTTCGCCTTGCCTTTCGCTTTGCTCGGATGCTCTCCCGCTGCGTGGAACCTGGCGGCGGCGGTCCCGCTGCTGCTGGCAACGCCTGAGCTGGAGGCGTTACTGACTGCCGTGACCCTGTCAGTTGGGCTGCGAAAGTTGGCCTCAGTGCGCATGAACTGGTCGGCGCGGTACACGTCGTAGTCTGCATTGCTCTACGCATGGATGACATTTCGGCACACGCCTGGCGGCTGCAGTGCCGGGTCGAAGGTCGGCTGGGCGTTACTGCGGCAGGTTTTGGCACAGTGTGCAACCCACAGGTCGCTGAACATGCTGCCTAGTTCCCTCTGCATCCTGGAGACGAAGGTGCTGTCGGACTCCCCGGGGTATTGTGCGTCGATCGTGCGCAGTGGTGCCTTGTACATATTGGACCCGTCGTTCTTCTTGGGCTCGTGAATGGTCAGTGGGTTCTTGAAGAAGGGTACCCATTTGTCATGATTGAATATCCCAGAATTATCCGTGCGCTCGTTCTGGTTACGCCAGGCGTCGTCACGAGACTGCGTGGCCCGGAGGTCTGAAGACCTGTCGTAACTCCACTGGTCCCTGTGCCCGCGAAGCGTCAAGAATTACGCCAGGAGGGCCCGAAAGGCATCCAGAAGGGCCGCAACGAAGGCCCCGAAATACCCCAAGAAAGCTCCAAGTGGGCTGATTGTTTAATGAAATGCGCAACCAAAGCTAAGTGGTGCCGCCGCTCGATCCCGGCAAACAAGGCACAGGGGCAGGCGGCGGCATGCAAGGCACAGGGGAACGGCGGCGGCATAGAAGACACAGAAGCGGGCGGGGGCATGCAACACAGGGGCGGGCGGGGCGATTCGCACTTGCATCGCCAGGCCACGGTAGCATGCAGCGAGTGTGATTTCAGCAGCTAGGGAGATGTCAGAGGCCAACCAAGAAACGACGCGATTGACGTATTGGGACATACGCGGATCGCTGCCCCGAACTGGTTCCGAGCGGGCTCCAAGGGACCAGCAGACAAGGCAGACACGAGCTGTGATGACGCGCAGGAAGAAGACAAGGCCCAGAACGGCTCGAATGCTTTTTGACCAGAACTGCCAGATACTGACACGCGGGGTGTCATATGCCGCTGCTCTTGCATACCAGCAGCAGCCGCTATTGTCGCCAGTCCTTCATAGATATGACTGCAAGCCCTAACACGATTCCCATCCGTGTGGAAATCCTCACCGTTCGGCTGCAGAAGCTCCAGCTCCTCCACATCATCCTCATCACGATCATCTTCCTCACTGGCCGCCTCCTCCTACGTATGCTTCCGCCTCCATGCCCGTCTCCACATCCGCCTCCCCTTACACCCCCTCGTCGTCCTCCTGCCATAGGCTTCGGAGTCCACGGTCGGACGCAGCCGCCTTACACCCCCCCTCCCGATGCGGCTCTCGCCGCCTGGGAAGGGGGGGGCGGACAACGACTCGTACTTGGCGGCAGGGTGGGCTAGAGAAACAAAATGGAAGAATGCACTCGAAACCCCTGGCTGTCTCACTCCTTCCCTCCTTCCCTAGGTTCTCCTTCTGCCATGCTCCTGGTCGCTCCAGACCTCTCTTGTGCTGGCCAGCTGGCCAGCCCCCTGGCCTTTCCCAGGATTCCGGGCGCAGTGGCCCTGGCCGCCGTCTGTCTACTCCTCGTCCTGCTCGTCATACTCCTCCGCCGCCTCCTCAACGACATCAACGACATAAACAACATACATCCAGCGCCTGATTACACCTCCCCACCACCCCCGGCAATGCCCCACGCTCCTGCTTCCAGTGTGCATCCATATGTACAGCGGTCAGCAGATGGCCCCGCGACCTTTGACAGATCCAGCTCGGCCGCCCAGCCCGCAGTCAACCGCGATCGCGGCGGTGCGAAGGCGCTCCCGCTCACTGCCGCGATAGAGGCAAATACCTGCCTCCGAGCGCCACAATCACGAGAGCCACTGCCACCGCGGCGCCATACCAGCCCGCCTGGCACCCTCGCGTGTACTCCCTCACTGTCCGATGCGGTTACACTTTATTTGTATTTTCCTCTCTCTATCCCTTTCTCTCTCTCTCTCTCGTTCTCTCTCTCTCTATCCAGACCCGCCCCCTCCCTAAAACCGCTGCCCCCCCCCCAGGATCCCTGGCCCCGGGGCCACCCTGGACGCACCAGTCGGGCGTGCATGCCCCGCGCGTGCACCCCTCAGGGGCAGTCCTCCAGGGCGCTCCTTCAGGGTGCCAATTGGCACCCCGTTGCGCTGGCCCGTGGGCCCTTTGGGGTGGTTGGCGCTCGCAACGGGGTGGGTGAACCTTCCCCGTCGGGCCCCCCTACACGCAGCCCAAACATTCAATCATGACCCTGGCCGGGGACACCCTGGAAGCCCGCGCACGGGAGACACCAGGTCTTCGGGCCTCCTGGACGCCCGGCCCAAAGAGGTCAGGAAGGTGGCCTCACGACCCCGCGGCGGACCCCCGCGGGCCGCCGGGGCATCAGAAACTGCCGCGGGGCACCTCCTGGCAAACCGGCTTCTTTTCTGACGTGCGTTGGTTGGCAAAGGCTATGCTTTTCCGCAAGGGGGGGTCACCTGCAAGCCGGCCCAGCAATCTGACACGCCCGCGCGCGAGAGGCACACCGAATAACCCTATGAAAAGCTTGCTTGGCTGAGAAATGAGAAGTGGAGGCACGGATCGCACTGATAATCAGGGGGAAGAGAAGGTGGAGAGGGAAAGCAACCATCTCCTGAAATAGAACGAATCGACATTACTGAGACGACCGCAGGGGGACGCCACATGCAACTCAGCCTCGCAGCCTGACACGCCTGGGCGCAAGCAGCAAACCGACTAACGAAACCATCGCGTGCGCGCGCTTCGCGAAGTGAGCGCCAGGGCGCGACGCGGAGACGGGTCGTGTCATGATCAGCCAGAAAAGCAAGGTCTCAGCGGCATCGTGAGGTCATCTAGGGCCTTTTGCACATTATTTACTGCCTCTCCCAAGGTCCCACGGTCAAAAATTCCCAAAGACTCCCACGTCATGCGAAACGCTAACAGACCCCCAAGTGTAGACCCGCGAGAACGGCCTCAAAATCCTGACAGGCTTCTGGTTTTTAGCGGGGAACTGTCTCTCTACTAGGCTCGCTGGTCAAAGAGGCGAGCCAGGCGGCTCGACAGGGAGGGGGGCCTGGATGACTGCGAAGCAACAACGATGTGGATCGATGAGACCGACACCCCAAAACCCGCTAAGTAATTACAGCGCACGCATCCCCATGACCGACCCTTGGTTTTTCGCGGGGAGTTTTTTTTTTGTTTTTTTCTCTCTCTCTCTCTCTCTCTCTCTCTCTCTCTCTCTCTCTCTCTCTCTCTCTCTCTCTCTATATATATATATACACACACTAGGCTCGCTGGTTAAACCGACTCGGATCCGAGGCTCAAGATGCGAGTGTCCGGAATCGCCTCTCGTTGGAACCACGCCCACGTCAGGTTCCCAAGAAAAAAACTGCTCTCACACCGTAAGGCAGAAGGCCCGAAGGGCGCTGAAAACAATGGAAGCGACAGCCTCCTGAAAACGACGGGGCACAAGTTCAAAAGGGCGGAGGCAGGATAGATGTTTCCCATGGACGCATTTGGCCATGACGCCAGGGCGCCGTAGTCCGAGGCGGTTCGTGTCGGCAGACGTGGCATTACATATTCAAGAAGTTTGACTGAATCTGGAATCGCCTTGATATCCACACATGTGCGAAACAACCGCGTGGCATGAAGAGTAGGGGAAACGAGAAAGGATCGTCTCACTCACTGAAGTGTAACAACTGATCACTGACGGCAGTCCGAGTCTGCGCGCTTCCGACACCAAACGAACTAGGCCAGTCGAGAGAGGGGCGCTGCACGCAAAAATGATCAATCCACCGACCTTGCCGTTCCTCATGTCAGACCTCAGCCCGAAAGAAATAACATCTGAGACACACGGATCCTCTACGCATCTGACAAGGAAGCCACGCCTGACCACAAGCAAGGGCACACTGAAGCGGGCTCCGGTTACCAACGCAAGCAGCCGTCGCCCATGTGCGAGCGGGCTTTGGCCGCGCCTGGCCGCGCGCCCAGATCTCCGCGAACTTATTATCGCACTCTTCGGCGTGGGTTCGCAGCCAGCTCGGGCGGGCCATCCGCGTCGAGCTGAGCCCGGCCCCCTTCTCGCACCTCGCCACGGAGCGGCCGGACTTCCAGCCGCCCCTCTTTTTCACCCGTGCTAGCGTTCTTTTGCGAGTGGCCATGTCCGAAGTCCGAAATGGCGCCGCTGCGCCTGGCCCGGCACGCCGCTATGTTGAAGCCCAGATCCCGCGACACCTGCTGCGCCGCAACGGCCAGCTGAGGGCAGGTGGAAAGCCGAACCTCCCCCCCCCCGGAGGCGCCGATTTGATGGCCTCCAGCGTCGGGGCGAGGCTGCGCCACCACTCGTGGTCCAGCTCGGTCTCCACGTCGAACTCCTTCGCCGGTGAAGCGACCCCCTCGGCCTCGGGGCCAAGCTGAATGGCCCGGCGGGTGGCGGCGCGGCCAGGGGCGCGCAGGCACTCGGGTTCGAGCGCAATCCGCTGGGTAGGTCGAGCACAGGCGCTCCACCTGAGGCAGATGAACAGAGCCATGTCGCATCGATTCAAGCTGCCCGTTCATCACTGCGCGCCAGATGGGCCTAGCCTCCGGCAGTCGAGACGTCGAGGGGCACAAGTTCAGCCGTCCTTTCAGGGCCCTCCAACTGCGGTGCAGCGTGCGAGGGCCTTGCCGCCCCGCCCTCGGCCGCGCGCGAACCGCGCCTGCCAGCAACTCCATGCCTCGGGCGGCCCCGGCGCCCCGCCTGATCTGCCGGTCGACGCGCTGCGCCAGCAGACCGTCCAGGACCTCCAGCGGGACGTTCATCGCGCGGTTGACACCTGCGAAAACGCTGAACTGATGCACCTCCTGGGCGCACTGATCCTCGGCCCGCGGCCTCGCCGCCGCGCGCCCCCCAAGGTGGGGCGGGGCAGCAGGTCAGCAAGCGAGGCCCCGGCAGCTCGGCCAGCGCGCCCTTCTTGGTGCGAAGGGGCACGCGACGCCGCGTGGATGCCCCGGCCAGAGGAGCTGGCGGCGCGCCCTCCTCGCCCTCGGAGCTCGAGACTTCTGCGAAGCGCGGATCCGTCCTGATCAGCGTCCGCAGCTGCTCCAGCAAGCGCCTCACCTCGGCGCCCGAAAGATGCCCCTGGCTAGCGCTGCGGGCCAGAGCTTCGATGCCCAGCCCGCCCCATCGCCCCCTGCACACGGGAAGTGCGCTGCCGAGAGGAGAGACTGCCCTGCGAACTCTCCAGCCTGCGCTTCCAACTGGGAACGGCTACCGGCACCACTTCGGGCCTCGACGAGGCCAAGGCCTGAACTCTGACGAAAGACGTGCAAGTTTTCGGTCGCATGAGAGCTGGCTTGGGCCGAAGTGTCTACGGAGGCAAGGCGAGGCACAGCTGCTAAAGAGCCGTCTCTTTCGCCGAAGGGATCGGGGCTGCAAGCGACGGAGACCGGCGCGGCACCGCGAGGCCCCATGCCTCCCCAAGACATCTCAGTCCACGGCACGCGAGCATGAAACTGGCCACCCAGAAAATTCAGGGGCCTCTGGGGGGTCGCAGGACGAAGCGTTTCCGGCTGGCCCCGAGGGGAACTTGAAGAAACGTCCAAAGCCGCGCGGCTGTCGCTGTAAGACTTAGTCGGGCCCAGGGGTTCCGCCGTCGTTCCAAGGGGTTTGACTACGTCGCGGGGGGCGCGCTAAAGGGGGGCGGGGTCGGCCTGCATTGCCATTCTTACTGGTGGCCGAATTCGACTGTGGCCGAAACGCACGAGAGGGGGCATCAGCGGCACTCTTTCCCGACGGAATCCATCGCACAGACGTGCGAATCTTGCGGCCGAGGCACCGCGCCGCCATCCTGCGCAATACGACGAGGCTCTCCGCCGCCTGCCAGTGGCTAGAACGGCCCCAAGTTGTCTGCAAAAAGAAGCTGGCGAATGTTGCGACCGAACCTGGCGCCGCTCACTCTCTCCAGCCCCCGCGGCACCCCGTGGGCCTCCAGCGCCGTGATGTCCTCTGGCTGGCGAACCCCCCAGCCCGCAAAGACCGCCCACTGGGACTGGTCCGTCATGAAGCCGGGCACCTCGGCGAACGTCGGATCAGGCCGAAGGTCGCCGCGGCCCAGGCAGCCCTCGACGCCCGGGGGCTCGGGCGGCGGCGGGTCGTCTCCGAGGGCGGCGGCGCGAACCCCGACGCGGTCGCTCGCGAGGTAGCGGTCGCGCTCGCGGCAGCGGCCGACCGCCGCGAAGTCGCCGGCAGCGAACCAGCGCGAGCAAATGCTGGAGCCCGTCTCCGAGGCGCCCGCGGCCGCGACCGGAGGGCCCCAATCCGACTCCCAGCTCGAAACCAGCAGCGCCATCAGCCCAGGGAAAGCCCGCAGCTCGTCGGCGACGGGCGACCACGGGGCGACAGTCCGGTCGCAATGCTTCCTGATGAACAGGTAGACCGTCGCGAACACCGACAGCGTCTCGCGCCGCGCCAGCCCGCAGAAGGTGGCGCGGCCAAGAAGGACCTCCACCACCTGCCGCCCAGACGCGCGGCGCCGCCCTGCCAAGGCCTGCAGGGCGCCTCGCGCGCGCCAGAAGCGCTCGGGCGCCAGCTTCGCGCGCCGCCGACGGCCGTCCAGCGGCGCCCCGAGCGACTCGACGCCCGCGTCGGAGGTGGCGACCTCGTGCACGGCGAGGCCCCTCGCCTTAAAAGCCGCGCAGACGTCCTCCAGCTTGGCCGCCACAACGTTGCCGTCCAACCCAGAGACCCCGACGTTGTCGACGCAGATGCAGCGCCTGGTGCGCGAAGCCAGGGCGCCCCGCAAAGTGCGGGCCAGTGGCTGGCCTTTGTCGCGCAGGAGCTCGGTCCGACCCAGGACCTGGCCCGCCGCCTCCTCGTCGATGTCCTGCGCCGAGAACGGGCCCCAAAAGAAGCTCATGGGCAGACGCCGAAGCATGGGCGCCGCCATCTCGTCGGACCCGACGGGGCCGCCCAGGGTCTCCGGGCGACCGACGTCGGCAGCTCGAGCGGTCGGCAGCCAAAACCAGCGAGAAAGCCAAGACGGGGCGCCCATCCTGCGGAATGCGCCCCGCACGTCTGCCGCGCCGCAGCAAAGAAAAACGTAGTCCTGACCCTCGGGGAGCTCCACCTCGACGCGACTGAGGCCCTCGGCCGTCAGAAGGTCGACGCGGGGCGGCGGCGAGAACCGCCCGCTGGTCCGCCGCGCGTCGAGGGCGAAGCGAGCTTCCCGTTCTCCTCGCGAACGAAAAGGAGACCGCCGAATACCATAATGTTCCTGGCCTCGAGGTCGCGGAGGAAGCGGGCGCGGAGCGAGGGGATGCCGGCGAGTTGGGGGTCGCCGCAGCGTCGCCCAGCACCATCGTCAAAACTGTCGCTGGCAGTAGGGTCCAGCATGCGCCCACATGCGCCCTCCAGATAGCGTCGGCCACGGCCCCCGACGAAGTCCGAGATGCTGAGGGCGCTAGTCCTCGCCTCGGGCGAGGGGGCCCGACCGCGTCGGCACGGCGCGAGCGCTGTCGAATAAGCGCCCATCCTGTAGCCAGACGCCTTGTCACAGAGCAACTCCCGAAGGGCCGCTTCTGGCGGATTGTTGGGCAACCGAGCGCCGTCGCGAACCTGGGGCTCCGCCAGCGCCTCCAGGCATGCCGGGCCCTCGCCCAGCTGAAGCGCAGCCCCCCGCGAAGAAAGGTCGCAGCTCCAGCCGGCGCGACTCGGCCGCCCTGGGGCGCCAGGCGGGCGATTGGAACCCGTCTCAAGCAACTCACGCGCACTGCAAGAATCCGCAACTAACTGTCGGACGCGACCTCGGGCGCGGCAACGCCCGCGACGTCGGCCGCCAGCAGCTGGGGCAAGTTCGCGCCGAGAAAAGGCCAGCGGGAACTGTTCGACGAGACGAGGGCGCCCTGGCGCCCGAAAATCCCACCTTCAGCGGGTCGTGGCGCGAGGGCCCGCCCACCGCCGGTCATCCGCGTCAATCATCCTTCCGCCCCGCCCGCCCTGACCTGCTGCGTTGCTGCCGCCGCGACCTCGGCCGCCGCCGGCAGCGCCCTGGCCGCCTCCAGCGTCAGCGCCCTCGGCCGCAGGCCGCAGCTGGCGCGTCCGAGCGCCCTCGATCTCGCCATGGTCCCTCAGCTTATTGATGCCCCGCTTGCGCAGGGCACGGGCGATGGCGTCGCTGTAGTTGGCCTCGCACTCGCACGCGACAGCCACGTGCAAAGAAGGGGCGCCGCTGCCGAGTAGGCGTCGATCACGCCCAGCATGCGTCGCACCATCTTCTCGATGCCAGCCGACGTGCCCCGGTTGAGCTGGTCCTACTCTCCGAACAGCCTGAAACTCCCCACCAGGGTAATCATATCATGGTAGACGCGGTCGGTCTACGAGATGTTGTTGCCCCTCGCGAACTGGTGCCACCAGCGACTCGGGTCTCTGCCGTAGCGCTCCGTGTGGCGAGCGAGATGGAAAGCCCCAGCAGGACCCTGGACCTCCATGGCCGTAATCGGATCCTCCCTGCTCTCCTCCACGGCCTTCTTCCAGCTCTTGAACCTCTCGCCCAGCTCATCGTAGCCGACATACAGGGTACGGACGTCGTCACCATGAGAAGGAGGCCCCTCCTCTGGTCGGGCATATAGGGCCAACGGCCCAGCCGCGGCGGCCGACCCCGAGTAGCGCGCCCTGAATTTTTTCATGGACTCCACGAACTCGCTGCTGGCAACCGCCTGGACGCGCAAGACGGCGCCGTGCCTGAGGACGAGGCCGCCCGGCGACGTGACGATCGCGCCTCCCGCTCGCGGAGACACATCCATGCCCATGGTCTCGTGTCTCTTGGCGTTCTCCGTTACCAGCCACACCACCCTCGGCGAAGGCGCCTCCCTACGCCAAGCAGCGGAGCCAGCTCGCCATCCGCGTTCACGAAGTGCGTGGGGGCAGGAGGTTCCTGTCCCGCAGACCGCATCTTCGCCACGGCCAACTGGGGTTCACGGCGGACACAGTCGTCGTCAGGATAAGCGCCGCCCGCGAACCTGTAGAACTTGCCACGCAGCGCGTGAGGGCAGGTTCCAGCGATATCCAGCATCACCAGCATCTCGGCCTCGTCGGCCTCCATCAAGATATTTTCCTCGAAGAGATCCCCATCGGGGGTGAGGACCCTTCCCTGGGTATTTGATAGCCAGGATCCGCCCAGGCTGCAGTCTATTCGACAATTCCTGCACCGAAAAAGGCCTCCATGTGTCCCCGAGGCATGCCCGACGGGCTGCGACGAGCGCCATCCCGTCTGGCGCAAGCCCAGCGCCAGCCACTGAAGATCGCGAGGACGAAAAAATGGCCCGTGCACATTGTGAGCGTGGCGATGGCGAAGAGCCTCGTGTCGCGCTCGGCCGAGTCGCAGCTGAGCTCGCACACGCACGCCTCGGACCTCACACGCCCAGCGATGTCCTCCACCACGTCAGGGCTGATGGTCGCCTCGGGGCAGGTCACCTCCAGCCTCGTCGCGGGCGCAGGCGGTGGCACCCAGTAGGCGTGGTCCCCAGGTGGCACCGCAGGGCCAGAGGACCA